GATCAACCCACTTTCCTTCTGGCTCCCTTTTGCCGCCTTCGTAAGGCGCTTGTTCTTACCAACCCGCCATGGTGCTGCTCAGAAAGCTGAAAGGTTTTATTCTTAAAATAATTTTTTTTTTTTGAGACGGAGTCTTGCTGTGTCGTCCAGGCGGAAGTGCAGTGGTGCGATCTCGGCTCACTGCAAGCCCGCCTCCGGGGTTCACGCCATTCTCCTGCCTCAGCCTCCTGAGTATAGCTGGACTACAGGCGGCCTGCCAACATGCCGGCTAATTTTTTGTATTTTTTGTAGAGACGGGTTTCCACCGTGTTAGCCAGGATGGTCTCGATTTCCCGACCTTTGTATCCACCTGCCTCGGCTCCCAAAGTGCTGGGATTAAAGGCATGAGCCACTGCGCCCAGCCTATTCTTAATTTTAAAAAAATACTTGAGCTGAGCGCCGTTGCCCACACCTGGAATCCCAGCACTTTGGGAGGCTGAGGCAGGTGGATCACGAGGTCAAGAGATCAAGACCATCCTGGCAACATGGTGAAATCACGTCTCTACTAGATATACAAAAAAGTAGCTGGGTTGGTGGCACGGCACTGCTCTCCAAGATACTTAGGAGACTGAGGCAGGAGAGTCACTTGAACCCGCGAGGTGGGAGTAACAGTGAGCTGAGATCTGTGCCACTGCACTCCAGCCTGGCAAAAAGTGAGACTCTGTCCCCTGCCAAAAAAAAAAAAAAAAACCCAAAAAACTTTGAACACAAAACTAGTATATAAATAAACTAGTATTGAAGTAAAAGCAGTAGTCAGATTTATTGTACTTATAATTTTTCATTTCATAAAATTTTAATTTGGGATTTATTCCAGGCAATACAGAATTTTTAATTTTTTGAAAGAGATTTTGTCTCTTCATCCTTTATCCTTCCGGTAGAAATAGTACATAGGGACAAATACCCAGGCTGAATAATTAATTGCCTTTCTTTTCTTTTTTTTTTCTTTGAGATGGAGTATCGCTCTGTTACCCAGGCTGGAGCGCAGTGGTGCGATCTCAGCTCACTGCAACCTCCGCCTCCTAGGTTCAAGTGATTCTCCAGCCTCAGCCTCCTCAGTAGCTGGGAGTAAAGGCGCCTGCCACCACGCCCGGTTAATTTTTGTATTTTTAGTAGAGATGAGGTTTCACCATTTTGACCAGCCTGGTCAAGAACCCTCGACCTCAGGTGATTCACCCACCTCAGCCTCCCAAAGTGCTGGGATTACAGGCATGAGACAGGGCTCCCAGCCTATTTGCCTTTCTTATAAAGTTACATAATGAATTCATTGTAACTTGTCTACCCTACATGCTTTTAGAAAGTAAATGGAATTTCACAACATTAGGTGCTCACTGTGTGTCTGGTACTGAACAAAGTCTTGGTCCTGAGGAGTGGAAGAAAAGGAAGTTATTTCTGTGTATTGTTGAAGACTTTCTTTTCTAATGGAGGTATAATTAACATGCCATAAAATTAACCAAAATTTTTTTTAATTGTGGTAAAATACACAGAACATTAAAGTTGCCATCTTAACCTTTTTTTCTCACACTGTTGCCCAGGATGGAGTGTGATGGAACGATCTCAGCTCACTGCAACCTCCCCGCCTCCTGGTTTCAAGCGATTCTCCTGCCTTAGCCTCCAAGTAGCTGGGATTACAGGCACATGCCACCACGCCCAGCTAATTTGTGTATTTCTAGTAGAGATGGGGTTTCACCATGTTGGCCAGGCTGGTCTCGAACTTCTGACTTCAGGTGATCCTCCCACCTCAGCCTCCCAAAGTGCTGGGATTACAGGTATGAGCCACCACGCCTGGCTGAGGACTTTCTTAAAGTGGTTCCTCTTTGCTGGACTGTTGATGTGAAATCCTTCCCCTCCAGCGAGTTCCTGGAGTCGTAGCTCTGGGCTGAACATGCTGTAATGTCTTGCTGGTTTTGCCCTTGTCTTCCAGACCATGACCTGGTCATTTGGATGGAACAGTTCTCTTCCTGTTTACTATATTCGAGAGGAAAAGCAGAGAGTTCTTCTGTATGTTTGCGCTCACACTGCGATCATCTACAACGTGTTGAGGAATAATCAACACCACCTTCAGGTATGCAGGGATTTCCTTCCTACAGGTAGGGGAGTTGTCTTTAACGTGTGTGTGGTATTTTGTTTTATATCTCAAGGACTAACTTCATTCTATCACTGTCATATTTTCCCACTCTCCTTGGAACTAAAAGCAATCCTGTCTTTACAAATACATGGTATTGCTTATTGTCTCTCTGTTTCTAATCAGAATCAACTTACAAAACAGCAGTTGACATTAATTTTATAGTTAGAATTTAAAACATCTGTATTTTTTACACTTCTGCAAAAATGTGGACAGCGTAGATCATGTCTCCACAGATATAACAAAAAGGGCAGCTATTCAGCAGGGTGCCGACCTCACGGACACTTACATACCTCTCTAGTTTTCAAACGGCTTTCATCTTATAACTGTACCGAGAAGTGGGTATTCATATACCCATTTTACAGAAGAAGAAACTGAGGCTCAGAGTGATTTAAGTGACTTGCCCAAGACCGTATTAGTAAATGATGTCTCCTGTCTTGAAAGTGTTAAGTAGGTCAGTTGTCCTTTTATCCCTCCCTCCTTTCAGCAGCTTTGCTCATTTTCACCCCTCTCTGAGCCTCCCCGATTTGTCCTTCGTGCCTGCCCTCCTCACAGCACTCCGCTTCCTTCGTTCCTGATATTTAGGACCCAATTCATTTTCATCATTTACCTTTCCAAGCGTCCTATTCCTTGGTGTCTGACTTTCTACTTATTGACCTGGTAAACTGTTCCATATCACCCTTTCAGTTGACGTATGTTGTTACAGGAGTGTCCTTAGCTGATGCCTAGATCAAAAACACCACAAGGTATTTACCAAGGACCCAGTCAATACTCAGTGTTGTGCCAGGGATTCAAGATGTCTGGGTGCAACTTAAGGAATTCAGTCTCTAGAAGTCCAGAAATACGCAGGCAGAAATCACCAGGCAGCTCCCCTTGGAGCTTCATTGAATGCCTGGCAGTGAGCACAGTGGTGATGGCAGAGAGAGAAGGAAGAGATCGCTGTGGGCAGGCTCAGATAGTCAGGGCGAGCAGGATGCACAGATATGCTGGAGTGGAAGGAGGCAGGAGTCCAGCCTCACTAGGGCCAGAGGACTGGGAGTGGCCTTGACCATCCATTTGTTTCACAAATAGTTTATAGCTGCTATGTTTCAGAGTATAAGTCTGTAGTAATGAACAAAATAGATGTATTCCCTGCTCTCATGGAGCTTACAGTCTAGTACAGAGACAGACGTTAAACAAGTGAACACATAAATGGTTACAAATTGTAACCAGTGATTAAAAGGAGATGTGAAAATGCTCTGAGAGAGACAAATTAGGGTAAGAGAAGACTTAACTTTAGATTGAGTGGGCAGGGATTGAAGAGGTGCTGTTTCTGCTAAAACTTGGAGGATGAGAATGACCCAGTCAAAGACAGTCTGGGAGAGAACATTCCAGACGGAGCAACAAGTGTTCAGGCCTATGTGTGGGGCCCGGAAAGAAGGCTGGCATGGCTGATGCACCGTGAAGGTGAGAGAGAAGGAAGGAGGGAAGAGGGGCCATTTCCCAGCAGGGAGTGCTGCCATTTGTGTTTCCAGAAGATTCCTCTCTTGTGTGCACAAAAGGATTATAAGAAGATAAGAGTGGAAGCAGAGGCTGAGCATGGTGGCTCATGCCTGTAATTTCAGCACAGGCCATGGCCAAGGAGGCTGAGGTGGGTGGATCACTTGAGCCCAGGAGTTTGAGGCCAGCCTGGGCAACATAGCAAGACCCTTGTCTCTACAAAAAATTTAAAAATTAGCTGGGCACGGTGGCATGTGCCTGTAGTCCCAGCTACTTGGGAGGCTCAGGTGGGAGGATTGCTTGAGCCCAGGAGATCAAGGCTGCAGTGAGCCAAGATTGTGTTGATGCACTTTAGTCTGGGTGACAGAGTGAGACCCTGTCTCAAACAAACAAAAAGAGTGGAAGTAGAGAGACCAATGAGGAACTTTTTGCTCCAGAGCTGCTCAGAGCCCTGAAGTGAGCAGTGTTCTAGAGAGAAGAGGCTGGCAGCGTGACTCAGAGTGGCTGGGGGAGGGGAGGGCCCAGATACTCATCCTCCACTTAGGTTGGGAGTTGCCACGTGCCTTGACCTCTAGGAGCCATTGTTCATGTGGGGAGTTATCTTTCAGGTGTTTGGAGGGAGAGAAAGTTTGAAAATCACCCACTAGGAAGTGGAGAAACCCCCAGGAAGGCCAGCAGGAACAGAATTTCCAGCCAGATGAGCGTTGAAAGGAGCTCAGATCTCTCTGTGGGGCCTGGCCTTTGCTGATGGTGGCCAAGGCTGGGCCACATCTTGGATGTTTCAAAGCATTTTCTCTCCATTTCTATAGGGCCATGCCAATATTATCTCCTGCCTCTGTGTCAGTGAAGACAGGCGGTGGATCGCCACAGCAGACAAAGGGCCAGACTGCCTGGTGATTATATGGGACTCCTTCACAGGGTAGGCTTTGTGTAGCCACTTCTTTTTTCCCCAAATTTGGGTAGAGTATCTGCCACTGTGTGACAATGACAGAATGAGTAATGCCAATGCCTAGAAATTTGATTTGTTGGCGTTCCACAGTAGACTAGCTTATGCTGACTCACACTAACCTAGCTCACACAAGCTCAAAGCATAACCCAGATGGCAAATCTGTCATTTACAACGAGAAATATTACTTCTACAAGGACAGATTTTCTAGTGGCTGGTCAGGCTGCCTCTTCTGGGCAGTTCTTAATGGTTACGACCAAGTGTTCCTGTCTATCCCTGCTCCCCGTTCCATACATTTCTTATTGGATATGTTCAATTTCGATCTGTTTGCCTGCCATGGTTTTAGGTATAGTAATGATGGGAGACTTTCCAAAGCTGCTGTTTCTCTGCAGTCTCTCTCTAATTCTAACAACCCGCCATTGCCTCCTTTCTTTCATAATACAGACAGGGTCTCGCTCCATTGCCCATGCTGGAGTGCAGTGGTGCAGTCATAGCTCATTGCAGCCATGAACTCCCAGGATAAAGTGATTCTCCTGCCTTGGCCTCCTGAGTAGCTGGGACCACAGGCACATGCAACCACACCTGGCTAACTTTTTTTTGTAGAGACGAGGTCTTGCTATGTTGCCCCGGCTGGTCTTGAACTCCTGGCTTCAAGAGATCCTCCCATCTTGGCCTCTCAAAGCACTGGGATTATGGGTGTGAGCCACCATGCTTGGCCTCTTCTTAAATATTTTATTTTATTGTATTATATTTTCATAGAGATGGGGTCTTGCTTTGTTTCCCATGCTGGTCTTGAACTCCTGGGCTCAAGCCATCCTCTTGCCTCGGCCTCCCAAAGTGCTGGGATTATAGGCATGAGCCACCACACCTGGCCTCTCTTTCTCTCTTTTTTAAATTAACAGACTTTTATTTTTAGAACAGTTTTAGATTTACAGAAGAATTGGGAAGATAGTACTGAGGATTCCCATATACCCCACACCCAGATTCCCACATTAGTTACATCTTACATTAGTAGGATCAATTTGCTATAATTCATGAACATGATTGACACATGATTATTAACAAACATCCAGGATCCCACCCAGGAGACCACATTCGATTTAGCTGTGATGGCTCCTTAGGCTCTGCTTGGCTATGGCAATTTCTTAGACTTCCCTTGTTTTTGATGACTGACAGTTTTGAGGAGTACAGGTCAGGGATTTGGTAGGATCTCCATCTACTGGACTGTTCTGATGGTTTTCTCGTGATAAGCCTACCGGCCTTCTGAAACACTCTGGTGTCTAAGAAATAAGTTACAGTGGCCTTCTTAACCTGGGGGTAAAAGGCATGCTCACTTCGATCAAACGTCAGATAAACCAGTCCAGGTGGTGAGGGGAGGTTGACAGCCCACAGACTCTCTACTGGAGCTAGATCTGGAAGGCTGGGGTTCTGTACTCTCCTTGTATCTGCTTCTGTAACTCACTCTCCTCCTTCCCCGGCTGGAGGCAGACTGAATGGAGAGCCTCTCTGGTATCAAGGTTGTCATCCTGTATTGCCTTTCTTCCTGACTCATAAAATTCTACCTTTTCTGGTTCCTTTTCTGATAGTGCATCAGACAAGGAATGGTGGAATTTCCGTGGGCTTGAGCAGTCCTGCTCAAAGTGTGGTCTGCAGGCTGAGCTGATCTGTCAGCCGGTCCTGGGCTATGTTGAACAGAAAGTACAGAAAATGAGAGGGGGCCTTTGGGAACTTTTATAGCAATTTGTTCTTGCTATGGTATTTTTATTTTGTGAAAGTATTTGATCTGGGCTGGGTGCAGTGACTCATGCACTTTGGGAGCCTCCCAGCACTTTGGGAGGCTGAGGCAGGAGGATAACTTGAGGCCAGGAGTCTGAGACCAGCCTGGGCAACATAGTGAGACTGTCTCTACAAAAAATTAAAAGTTAGCCACATGTGGTGGTGCACACCTGTAGTCCCAGCTACTCGGGAGGCTGAGGCGGGAAGATGGCTTGAGCTTAGGTGTTTGAGGCTGCAGTGATTCATGATCATGCCATTACACTCCTGCCAGGGTGACAGAGTAAAACCCTGTCTCAAGAAAAAAAAAAATGCATTGGTCTGCAGTGGAATAAAAGTTTTTAAAAAATACCTTTCACCACAGATAGTTTGCAAAGTGCTGGACAAGAAGATGTCGAGGCAGTTGGGGGATCCTGCGGGACTGAGCACGCCACCTTGTGTGACAGCTCTCAAGCAGGAGGCCGTCTTGTCTGCCGAGGACATTGGAAATGGGGCTGGTAGTTTGGGCTGTGGGATATGACATTGTGTAATTGATGAGAATGCAGTAGAGGTCCACCAAATGAAGGGAAGGAGCTGTAGGGTTTCAGGGAGGGCCTGGTTGGGGACAAAAAGCATGAGCCTACAGTAGATGGTAGGTGGGGGAACGTGGTGATGCTTGTCCAGCTGTGCTGGACAGAGGGGGAATAAGAACAGGGAATGTGACTGGTGGTGGCTTGCCTGGGTAGGAGAACTGGAAGGGAAGAAGGGAAGGGGCCCAGGGGACTTCAGAGGGACATGAAAGAGCAGGTGGCAGGAGGCAGGTGTGAGTGTGGGCTCTGGCATCCACCTGGGCTTCCATGCCTGCTCGGCCATGGTCTGCTGTGTGACTTGGAGGCCCAGAGAAGAAAGTAACTTTCCCATTTGTGAAAAAAGAATAATGATGTCTACTGTTTTTTACTTTCCTTGCTGTAACAAATTACCTCAAACAATATACTTTCTTGCAGTTCTGGAGGCCAGAAGTCTGAAACCAAGGTGTTGGCAGGGTTGGCTGCTTCTGGGGGCTGTGAGGGAGAATCTGTCCCAGGCCTCTCCCCTTGCTTCTGCTGGCTGTGGGTGACCCTTGGTGTCCTTGGCTTGTGGACGCATCCCTTCGATCTCTGCCTCCATCTTCCCATGGCATTCCCACCATGCATCCATCTGTGTCTTCTTGAGGACCCTGGGCATTGGATTTGGGGCCCACCGTAGTCCAGTACAACCTCATCTTAACTAACTACATCCACAAAGGCCCTGTGTCCAAATAAGGTCATATTCTGAGGTTCTGGGTGGGCCTGAGTTTGGAGGGGCCACTTAGCCCATTAAATCCAGTGCACAGGATGTTGTGAGGATCGCTGGAGTGCAGCACCAGACCATAATAGAGGATCCTAGATGGGTTTTCTTTCTTAACTCCTGGCCTGAGGCAGAGAGCAGTCAGATTCACTGACAAGACTGTTAGGGCTTAGTTGGGTAGATGGGTGGGAGGGAAGAGTTCAACAAGTGAGTCCAGATGCATGAGGAGGTTAGGAAGAAGTTCTGTTTAATGTTCTATAGTGGGGGACACAGAAACTGCTCTCCCGCAGGTGACCAGTGACCTCCAGGGGATCGCATTACCCAACCTTGATCCTCATGTGACTTGACTTCTTTGTGTCATCTAACACTTCATTTCGTGTGGCTTCTCTGATCTCACATCCCTACAACACAGGGCCTTCGTGTCTGGCTTCTTTCACTTAGCATCATGCTTGAAGGTTCATCTGTGGTGTGGCACGTGTCCTTTCTATGGCGGAATCACATTACATTGTATGGATAGACCAAACAATGTATGCTCTTTCATCTGATTTTTTGTTTTGTTTTTGTGTTTTTGAGACAGGATCTCACTCTGTCACCCAGGCTGGAGTGCAGTGGTGTGATCGTGGCTCACTGCAGCCTTGGCCTCCAGGGCTCAAGCAATCCTCCCACCTCAGCTTCCTGAGTAGTTGAGACGACGGGTACATGCCACTGAGCCTGGCTAATTTTTTTCATTTTTCTGGTAGAGACAGGGTCCTCCTATGTTGCCCAAGCTGGTCTGAAACTCCTAGGTACAAGTGATCCCCTGCCTTGGCCTCCCAACATGCTGGGATTACAACTGTGAGCCACTGTACTCAGCCCCGTCTGTTGTTGTTATTGTTATTATTATTATTATTACTGAGACAGGGTCTCACTCTGTTATCCAGGCTGGAGTGCAGTGGCACAATCTCAGCTCACTGCAACTTCTACCTCCTGGGCTTAGATGATCTTCCCATCTCAGCCTCCCAAGTAGCTGGGACCACAGGTGCACACCACCATACCCAGCTAATTTTTTTGTATTTTTTTAATAGAGATGGGGTTTCACCATGTTACTCAGGCTGGTCTCGAATTCCTGGGCTCAAGTGATCTGCCTGAATCAGCCTCCCAAAGTGCTGGGATTACAGGCATGAGCCACCATGCCCGGCTCCTCTGCTTAATTTGTTAAAAAATGATTTTAGGACATTTTAATAGAAAACTGTTAAATTTAATGGTGGCTCACGCCTGTAATCCCAGCACTTTGGGAGGCCGAGGCGGGTGGATCACTTGAGGTCAGGCGTTCGAGACCAGCCTGGCCAACATGGGGAAACCCCATCTCTACAAAAATACAGAATACAAAATACAAAAAAAAAATTAGTCGGGCATAATGGTGCCCGTAATCCCACCTACTCGGGAGGCTGAGACAGAATCGCTTGAACCCAGGAGGCGGAGGTTGCAGTGAGCCAAGATCGTGCCATTGCACTCCAGCCTGGGCAACAGAGCGAGAATTCATCTCAAAAAAAAAAAAAAATTAATGAAAACCGATACATTTTCATGGAAAGCACTGGCTGCCATCTCCGATCCTAGTCTTCTTTCTAGAGGTAATCAATTTGATGTGTTTCCTTCCAAAACATTTGCTTTTGTTTTAAACACATGTATATGGATATCTTCATATTGTTTTTCTCCACAACATGGTTGGTGTGATCTTTTCCCAAACGTAAATCTGATTGTGTTGCCACCCTGATTAAAACCCTGTAGAAACTGCCCATTGTCAGATCAGCTTATGCTACAGGGAACACGCACCCTGCATTAGGGCCGTGCAGACACTTCCCCTAGAAAGTGAAATGCCTGCTGCCTGCACACGTAGCTGTCTGCAGCTGCTGACATGCTTTCAGCTGCAAGTAATGGCACATCCAACTTAACCACAAGGAAAAGGTATTATCTCATGCAGTAGAAGCCTGAAGTCGGCCAGCAGAAGAGTCGGAGTCCTTCAGGTGTGTCTTGTCTCTGAAGCCTTTGCTGACCGACACCTTCACCACACAGAGCTGCTCCGTTATGATGTTGAGCTGCTGTTTTTTCCTTATTTGTGAAACTGTGTCTCTACTAGACACGAAGCCACTTGAGGGCAGTGATTTTTTAAAAAAATTACACAGTAAAGCATATCTGTGGTTAATAATGCAAATGCTATGTTAATATGAATTTTATGATATCCCAAGTGATTACTTTGGGACCCAGAAAAGATTATTCAGAGGCTGTTTTGGTTTTAGGATTAGTATTCATTTTATTAGTGATAAATTAAACACCGTAGTTCTTCCTCCAGTTTTTCGCTCAACTTAAAAATCTTACTCTGTTTATAAATCTAGCATATTTTTGCAATCACCTTTGAGGAGGCTTTGATTAATGTTTGGCCCCACTTACACATTTGGTTATTAACTCCTTTTAAACATTTAAAACTGCATTTTGATATTTAAGATACTCAGTTTCATTAAGTTTTTTAGTAGTCTGATTAACAAACAAATCCTTCATAGTACTTAATTACTGCAAATCTAGTAAATTAGACATAAATATGGTAAGTCTTAAGTTTCCTTAAGTGTTCTAATATTGCCTATAAACCTATTACGATTTTAATTTAAAATCACAAATCTAAATCAACTACATATTTTAAATTAGCATCACAAATCTAATCTGTTAGCAACTCTGAGGTATGTCAAATTCACTTAAACATTACAAATTCCTAAAAAATGAACAAATTCTCTTATCACAACTATGTGAATAATGCAGGTCTGACTGACTTCATCTTCTCTATATTCAATTCCAAGTATCTCCAAGGATAAGATACATTTTCTCACTAAGGACTTCACTGTGTTATTTCCAGTCACTTTGGGATTGCCTTCGCAGGTGAATTTTTGGGGCTACTTCTCAGTGGGATGAAGTTTCTCAAGTGACAGAGAACCAGAGAAGTCCTCAGCTGGGACACAGACTTGATGCCAGCCAGTTGGGACCCTGGTGTGACGTACAGACATACTGAGGCCTGTTTATCTTCACTGTATCTAGGACTCCATAATAAAAAAAAAAAGAACCATGCGGCCTGCATTCCTGGTTTAAGTCTTGCTACCACCCTCTCTTCATTCCAGTGGGAATCAGTGGACCTCCCCCAACCCAAGCATTACAACTTCCATCTTCGCTTCCACTGCTTCTGTGCTTTGGTTGTCTTAGATACTTACGTGTCATCTAATTCTGGGTATTTCAAGGCTGTGTCAGAATCATACAGTTCTAAGGTCTTGTCAGTAACACAGTGTGGAAGTGTAAGAGCAAAAAATAAAAGTTCGTCCTCACCCAAACCCCATCTCCAGAGGAACCATTGCTTACAGTTTGCAGTCTATTCCTCTGGAGTTTTTTCAATACACACACACACACACACACACACACACACACACACACGATTAGGATGATGCAATAATTGTTTTGCAGTTTGCTTTTTTCACAAATTTTGGTCACTTTCCCAATCTACCTCATTCTTTTTGAAGGCAGCAAAGTTTTTATTTTTATTTCTATTTTTAATTTTTATGGTTTTTTTTTTTTTTTGAGACAGAGTTTCGCTTTTGTTGCCCAGGCTGGAGTGCAATGGTGTAATCTCGGCTCACTGCAACCTCCACCTCCCCAGTTCAAGTGATTCTCTTACCTCAGCTTCCTGAGTAGCTGGGATTACAGACTCCTGCCACCACACCGGGCTAATTTTTTGTATTTTCGGTAGAGACGGGGTTTCACCGTGTTGGCCAGGCTGGTCTCAAACTCCTCACCTCAGGTGATGCACCTGCCTTGGCCTCCCAAAGTGCTGGGATTACAGGTGTGAGCCACCACGCTGGCTTATTATTTAATTTATTTATTTATTTATTTATTTATTTATTTTTGAGGCAAGGTCTTGCTCTGTCACCCAGGCTGGAGTGCAGTGGCATGATCTTGGCTCACTGCAGCCTGCACCTCCTGGACTCAAGTGATCCTCTCACCTCAGCCTCCCATGTAGTTGGGCCCACGGGCGCATGCCAGCACGCCTGGCTAATTTTTCTATTTTTGGTAGAGACAGGGTTGTGCCATGTTGCCCAGGCTGATCTCGAACTCCTTAGCTCAAGCAATCCACCCTCCTCAGCCTCTCAAAGTGCTGGGATTACCAGTGTGCAACACCGTGCCCAACCTAGTTTCTTATCATGTGGTTATACTATAATATCTTTTCAAACAATTCATGTGTGGTATATTAAGGGACATTTGTGTTGTTTGATTTTTGCTATTAGAGTAGTACCACAATGACTGTGAATTTTCATTGACCTTTGTTTACTTTTTCCATGGTTTCCCTAGGAAAAAGTCGTAAGAGTGGAGTGACTGGGCGGTAGGGTGTATGCATTGAAGGTTTTGATAGGTCCAGCCAAACTGCTTCTAGAAAGGTGCTGCTCCTTTGCATGCCCACCTATGCAGGAGAGTGCCTGATTCCCTGCGAGCTGGGATGTTGTCCTAGACATCTTTTCATACTTACATCCTTCCTGCCAGGCACAACCTGGCACAGAATCAGTGCCTGGTACCTTGTGAATGAGAAACTAGAGCTTGTGAAGAGGGCAAACAGCAGGCCCATTGCCTTGAGTTAGGCTTGACTACTATTGTTGTTGAGGTTAAATTCACATGACATAAAACTGACCATTTTAAAGCTTGCAGTTTGGTGACATTTAATACATTTACACTGTTATGCAACCATTATCTCTATCTAGTTCCAAAACGTTTTCACCACCCCAGAAGGACACCCTGCACCCCATTATCTGTCTCCATGGGTTTGCCTATTCTGGCCATTTCATATGAGTGGACTCGTACACTCTGTACCTTTCGAACCTGGCTTCTTTCACTTAGCATCGTTTCCGAGGCTCATCCATGTCATATCATAGCATGTGTCAGTGCTTCATTCCCTTCTATGGCTCAAAAAGATTCCACTGTATGGATAGATCACATTTTGTTCTGTTTTGGAGAGGTTTGGGCTGAGCTCAGACCTGCCCTGGGCCTCTCTGGGAAGCCAGGGAGACCTCAGCAAGTGTCACCCCCCTTGTCCTGTTTTGCAGTATTCCTGTGCACACAATATTTGACAGCTGCCCCGAAGGGAACGGCATCAGGGCCATGGCCATGACCCATGACGCCAAGTATCTGGCAACCATCTCAGATGCTGAAGTCCAGGTAAAGGCCCTGGCCCTTTGGGTCAGCTTCAGCGAGCTGGCCGACCTGTCCAGTGTGTCCCCGTGGGCAGCTCTGTTCAGGCTGCATGATGTGTGTGATGTTCTCAAAAGACCAGACTCCACAGCACAGAGTCCGGGCCTCTGTCCTTAGTTACTTGAAGTTTTGGGGTCACCACAAGAGGTGTAAGTTACTTTAGCAGACTTCAAAGAACTTCTCATGCCCCTCTCTCTGCTGTCACCTACAGAAGGTGTGCATCTGGAAGTGGACTTTGGCAGTGGAAACACCAGCATGCACTCTCGAACTCCCCAAAGAGTACGGTGTTCAGGTGAGTTCCACTGGAGCCTGTAAACATCAACTAAAGTTATATGGGTGCCAGGCCAGGCTGGGCCTGGTGACTCACACCTGTAATCCCAGAACTTTGGGAGGCTGAGGTGGGTTATCACTTGAGGTCAGGAGTTCAAGGCCAGCCTGGCCAACATGGTGAAGCCCGTCTCTACTAAAAATACAAAAATTCCCTGGACGTGGTGGCACATGCCTATAGTCCCAGCTACTTGGAAGGCTGAGGCATAAGAATTGCTTGAACCTGGGAGGCAGAGGTTGCAGTGAGCCAAGATTATGCCACTGTACTCCAGCCTGGGTGACAAAGTGAGACTCCATCTCAAAAAAACAAAAACAAAGTTCTACTGATGCTGGGCCAAAACCTACTTTTTGTTTCAGGGGAGTTGTGTTATGCTGCATAACAGTGTTTTTTTTTTTTTTTGAGACAGAGTTTCGCTCTTGGTGCCCAGGCTGGAGTCTGGAGTGCAGTGGCACGATCTCGGCTCAACACAACCTCTGCCTCCCAGGTTCAAGTGATTCTCCTGCCTCCCAAGTAGCTGGGATTACAGGCGTGCACCACCACGCCTGGCTAATTTTGTAATTTTTTAGTAGAGATGGGTTTTCTCCATGTTGGTCAGGCTGGTCTCGAACTCTCAACCTCAGGTGATCCGCCCACCTCAGCCTCCCAAAGTGTTGGGATTACAGGCGTGAGCCACCGCGCCCGGCCTCAGTAGAGCTTTAAAAACCCTTTCATTTCCTGATTCATTTTACTTGACTATAATAGCTAATATTTTTCAAGCACTTATGTTCCAGAGTCTGCTAAATTCTTTACTTACATTATCTCACATAATCCATGCAAACATGCTAGCAAAATAGATATTAATATCTGTGGAATACTACCATTAATTATTAAATACTTTGTCTAAAATCACCCACCTGGCAGTCTTTCTTATTCTATAAGTGTGCTTTTAACTGCTTCGAACCTTGTAAAACTAACTCTGAGGAGTATAGGGAAGTTATTATTATTGCTCCCAACTTACATGAGGTGACTTGCCAAGGACACCCAGCAAGTTTCCATCAGGTCTCCTTATTTCCTGGGTCGCTGCTCCCTGCTGTTGTGACTTGTCTCATTCATCCTTGCATGCTTCATTTGTCATACATTTATCGAGTACCTGTTCTGTGCCAGGCACTGTGATAAGTACATGCCTGACTTGCAGGATCTAAATCCCAGAGGGTTTGGGTGACTAGACTCAGCCAGGGAAATATGGTTATGCAGCCATATGTCCATCTTCTTTCCTTTCCCCCCAATATTCCTCTTGCCCCTAAAAAAATGTTTCTTCCTCCTTAAGGTTGTGCTAACACAGTAGCCACCAACCATATGTGGCTATTTAGGACGAGTTTTTCTATTGCTGCAAAAAACGCCATTGGGGTTTTGTTTTGTTTTGTTTTGTTTTGGTTTGGTTTTTTTGAGACGGAGTCTTGCTCTGTCGCCCAGGCTGGAGTGCAGTGGCGGGATCTCAGCTCACTGCAAGCTCCGCCTCCCGGGTTCACGCCATTCTCCTGCTCAGCCTCCCGAGTAGCTGGCACTACAGGCGCCTGCCACCTTGCCCGGCTAGTTTTTTTGTGTTTTTTTTTTTTTTTAGTAGAGACGGGGTTTCACCGTGTTAGCCAGGATGGTCTCGATCTCCTGACCTCGTGATCCGCCCGTCTCGGCCTCCCAAAGTGCTGGGATTACAGGCTTGAGCCACCGCGCCCGGCCGCCATTGGGGTTTTGATAGCGATTTTGCATTGAATCTGTAGATCACTTTGGGTGGTGTCATCGTTTTCACAGCGTTGTCTTCTAATCCATGAGCATGGGACACCTCGCCATTTATTTATGTCTTCTTTAATTTCTTTCAGGAATGTTTTGTAATTTCCAGAGCTCAAGTCTTCACCTCCTGGTTAAATTTATTCCTAAGGATTTTGTGTTTTTTTGATGCTATTTTTAATGGATTTGTTTTCTTAATTTTCTTTTTTAGATTGTTCATTGCTAGTGTATAAAAAGACAGCTGATTTTTGTGTGTTGATTTTGTACCTTGCAACCTTGCTGAGTACACATGGTGATTTAAATTTAAAATTATTAAAACGTAAAAAATCTTTTTTGAGACAGGGTCTCCCTGTTGTCCAGGCTGGAGTATAGTGGCGCAATCCCAGCTCACTGCAGCCTCTGCCTCCTGAGCTCAAGCAGTCCTCCTACCTCAGCCTCCTGAGTAGCTGGAACTACAGGTGCACACTATCATGTCCAGCTAATTTTTTAATTTTTTACAGAGACAGAGTTTTGCCATGTTGGCCAGTGTGGTCTCCAACTCCTACGCTCAAGCCATCCACCTACCTCAGCCTCCCAAAGTGTTGGGATTACAGGCGTGAGCCACCACACCCTGCCCTCTTCTTGCTATGCTTTCTTCTTGGGTATTGTCATCTATTCCCAAGGCTATTTACTTCCAAGACATACCCTAAAATCTTCCCTCATCTCTCCACCTCTGTTGCTACCGTCCTAGTCCAGGCCACAGTCACCTCTACCTGCACCATCTGGCCTGCTGGTCTTTCTGCTTTCACTCTCTCTTCACTCTCTAACAATCTTCCCACAGCAGTCAGACTGTTTTTTGTTTTGTTTTATTTTCTTTATTTTCTTTATTTTTTTTTTAAGATGGAGTCTCACTCTGTCACCCAGGCTAGAGTGCAGTGGTGCAATCTCGGTTCCTACAACCTCCACCTGCTGCTGCTGGGTTCAAGCGATTCTCCTGCCTCAGCCTCTCGGGTAGCTGGGACTACAGGCACGTGCCACCATGCCCGGCTAATTTTTTGTATTTTTAGTAGAGATAGGGTTTCACCATGTTAGCCATGATGGTCTCGATCTCTTGACCTTGTGATCCGCCTGCCTTGGCCTCCCAAAGTGCTGGGATTACGGGTGTGAGCCACTGTGCCCAGCCAGAGAGTTATTTTTAAATAATTAAAATATTGCATCACTCCTGTACTTAAAATCCTTCAGTAACTTCTCATTGTCCTCAGAATAACATTAAAATTCCATGACATGTGGCCTTCAAGGTGTGATCTGATTCCTCCATCCATCTCCTAATGTCTACCATCCTGATTATTGTTCATCAGTTTGCTTTTCCTAGAATTTCATGTATAATAAATGGACTCCATTTACAGAGAGCTTTGGTTTCTTTCACTCAGTTTTGTTGTTGCACGTACCAGTAGTGTATTCCTTTTTATTGTTGAATAGTAGCGCATTGAATAGGTACGTAACCTTATTAATTCACTGTTCATGGACATTGGGTTGTTTCCTGGTTGTGGCTATTAAAAATGAAGGTGCTGTGAATGTTCATGGACAAGTCTTTATTTTTGAAGGAGATTTTCCTTTGGTATAGAATTCTAGAGTGGTAGTATTTTCTTTTGGCACTTCATATCTTCAAGGAGTGATTCTGTTGTCTTCTGGTTTCTACTGTTTCTGTTGAAAAGTCAACTGTCAATCCCTGTTTTGAATGTTGTGTGTCTCTCTCTTTGGCCCCCAGCTGCTTTTACAGATTTTTCCCTTGGTTTTCAGCAGGATTTTTTTGTTGTTGTTGTTATGTTCTGTTTTTGAGACAGGGTCTCACTCCATCACCTAGGCTGAAGTGCAGTGGCACAGTCACCACTCATTGCAGCCTTGACCTCTTAGGCTCAAGTGATTCTCCCACCTCAGCCTCCCAGGTAGCACCACTACACCTGGCTAATTTTTTTTCTTTTTTTGTAGAGATGGGGTCTCGCTGTGTTGCCCAGGCTGCCCAAACTCCTGGGCTCAAGTAACCTTCCCACCTCAGTCTCCCAAGATGCGGGGATTATAGGCGTGAGCCACTGCTGCACCAACCCCAGCAGCTTTTCAGTGATGTGTCTATGTGGATGTGGGTATGTTGTTGATTTTTTTTTTTTTTTTTGAGACGGAATCTCGCTCTGTTGCCCAGGCTGGAGTGCAGTGGCCGGATCTCAGCTCACTGCAAGCTCCGCCTCCCGGGTTTACGCCATTCTCCTGCCTCAGCCTCCCCAGTAGCTGGGACTACAGGCTTGAGCCACCGCGCCTGGCCTGTTATTGATTTTTGTAAAGTTTATCCTTTAGGATTTCTTGAACCTGGGATGCTATATCTCTTCTCAGTTTTGGAAAATTCTCAGCCAGTACCTCTTTACACATTTCTTCTGCCACATTCTTTCTTTCTTCTCCTTCTGGGGCTCCAATTACATATATGTTAGACCTTTTCTGGTCTTGTCTCACTGGTCTTTTATTTTCTTTTCTGTATTTTCTATCCTTTCATCTGTTTCTGCTTCAGTCTGGGTGTTTTCTACTATAATTTGTCTTCCTTTCCTGCTGATTCGTTCTTTCTTTGGCTATATCTAAATTTTTGTTAAACTGTCTATTGAGCATTTTAAATCATTTTTTCAGGTCTAGAGTTTCCATTTGATTCCTTTTTTAAGTAGAGCTATCTGCTGAGATTCCCCATCTTGTCCCCTACTTTCCTGCATGTTAATCCAGTGATTGTCACGTCTGTGTCTAACAACCCCAATACTCAGATCTCCTGTGGCTTCTTTCTGCCTATTGCTTTTTCCCCTTGGTTTTCAGTCATTTGGATGGGTCTTTTTTCTTTTCTTTTCTTTTCTTTTTTGAGATAGGGTCTTGCTCTGTTGCCCAGGCTGGTCTTGAACTCCTGGCCTCAAGCAATCCTCCTGCCTCAGCCTTGCAAAGTGCTGGGATTCCAGGCATATACCACAGTGCCTGGCCTGGATGTATCTCTTTAATATGCCTTGCTATTTTTTACTGAATGCCTGATGTTGTATTTTTTAAAGTGTAGCAATAAATTTGAGGCTCGAGATGACTTCCTCCAAAGAAGACTGACTTTTGCTTCTTAAAGGCACTTAGCAGAGTGGTTCAGCTTAATCAGAGCTTGAGGTGGTTTGAGGCTGATTTTCAGGCTTTGTGAAGTCTGCTTCATGCACTTGCTTTTGCCAATTCCTTACCCTGCCCGGGCTTTTGTGCTGTTCTGATATGAATTCTCAAACACTGGCATTGGCAGTTTACACTCCCGTGGTATGTAACATTCATAAAATGTTTGGAAAATGATAGGTAAGGAATAGGCGTGGAGACGGGGTAGAAATGGTAGAAATGGAACTTAAAAAGCTTTTCTCCAGCCTGTCCCTCAGTGCTGTCTCCTGTAGCCCTTCACCCCAGGCTGTAGCCACCCACCTCCCATGCACATTTCAAACACATACCCCGTGGCTCCCCAGGAAGAGCTTGCTTTGTTGTTCTTGCTGTGACTGTTTGGTTTGTGTGTTTAAAGTTTCCCTCACTTCCATAGTTTCTGCAGGGTTGATTTTTGGGAAGGGAGCCAGCAGCCCATGCTATTCACCATCTTGGCAGGAATTAGAATCCCCTTCCAATATCTTGCATTCATTCCAAGATACTGTGTGGCCCTGTCAACTTTAGAAATGTATATGCAGCAGTCTTTAAAAGGATACAGAATAAAGGTTATTGGTGAATACCGGTTTACTTTTGCTTGTTCCAATTTATTTTATTATTATTATTGTTATTATTTTAAATTGATCACTGTCAGAAAAGCTTGTTACAGCCAGGTGCAGTGGCCCACACCTGTAATCCCAGCACTTTGGGAGGCTTAGGCGGGTGGATCTCTTGAGGTAGGGTTCGAGACCAACCTGGGCAACATGGTGAAACCCCGTCTCTACTAAAAATATAAAAATTAGCTGGACATGGTGGCACATGCCTGTAGTCTCAACTACTCAGGAGGCTGAGGCAGGAGAATTACTTGAACCCAGGAGGCGGAGGCTGCAGTGAGCTGAGATGGCACCACTACACTCCAATCTAGGCGACAGAGCAAGACTCTGGCTCAAAAAAAAAAAAAAAGAAAAGCTTGTTCCAATTTATGGATGATGAAATATAATAGATCAGACTGGAAGGGGAACACATTTGACACTATTTATTTTACCAGTATTTAAATGATATTCCTATTTTTTACCAAATGCTGTATCTTTTCTGTTTTATATTCCTACTCATTTGTGTGTGTGTGTGTGTGTGTGTGTGTGTGTGCGCGTGTGTTTTGAGATGGAGTTTCGCTCTTGTTGCTCAGGCTAGAGTGCAATGGCGCGACCTCTGCTCACCACAACCTCCGCCTCATGGGTTCAAGCAATTCTCCTGCCTCAGCCTCCCGAGTAGCTGGGATTACAGGCATGCACCACCCTGCCTGGCTAATTTTGTATTCTCAGTAGAGATGAGATTTCTCCATGTTGGTCAGGCTGGTCACAAACTCCTGACCTCAGGTGATCTGCCCGCCTCGACCTCCCAAAGTGTTGGGATTACAGGAGTGAGCCACCAATTAAGTAATAATTGGTATTACTACTCCTGTAATACCAATTATTATTTAATAATTTAATTAAATAATAAATTAAATTATTATTTAATTTTAACATTCAGCTTAACCAGAAACAGAAAATTTATCATTAATATATTTTCATACTTTATATTTCAGAACTACCTTACTTTTAACCCAACAAATAATAAAGAATTGGTGAGCAATAGTAAAACACAGGCAATATATTATGCATGGGTAAGTAGAAATATTTTGATTTGTCTTAAATGTGGGTAGAAGTATGTGTTCATTCTTTGAGTACGAATGTTTCAGTGATGTAACAATATAGTATCTCTACTTAAGAAGCAATGAATATATATTAAAATGTTTTTATTTAATTATAGTGTTTAGTCCCATTTGAAATTAGCGTATTAAATCAGAAGCAAATAATTCAATTTTATTTATTAAATTTTATTAAAGCAATGAGGCAAATGTTTATTTGAATTTATTTAACAAGACTAAAATACAAGTTTTGTGGTTTTTTTGGAGACAAGGTCTCGCTATGTTGCCCAGGCTGCCTCAGACTCCTGGGCTCAAGTGATCTTCCCACTTTATCCTCTCAAGTAACTGGGATTAGAGGGGTGAGCCAGCCATACCTGGCTCTAAAATACAGATTTTTTTGAGACCTTGGTCTTTTTTCCCTTTTAGAAAGGAATTAGCAAACAGATGAGTGATACATATACTGACACAGAGCCAAATCATGAGAATAAAAAACATTGAGGCTGAGCACAATGGCTTGTGACTGTATTTCCAGCACCATGGGAGGCCAAGGCAGGAGGATCACTTGAGGCCAGGAGTTTAAGACTAGCCTGGGCAACATAACAAGACCTCATCCCTACAAAAAATTATTTAAAAAAATTAACAGCGCATGGTGATACATGCCTGTAGTCCCAGCTGCTCAGGAGGCTGAGGCTGAAGGATTGCTTAAGCCCAGGAGTTTGAGGCTGCAGTGAGCTGTGATGGTGATGGTGCCACTGCACTCCAGCCTGGGCAACAGAGTGAGACTCTGTCTCAACAAAACAAAACACAACAAAACAAAAAACGTTCCAAGTTAAACATGGAATAACTATGTGACTCAGCAATTCCAAGGTAAGATGTAAAAGAATTGGAAAGAAGCATTCGAACAAATACTTCTACACAAACGTTCACAGCAGCAGCAGCGCTATATGGTTATTTGTAATAACCAAAAGGTAGAAACAAGCCAAATGTTCATCTACTGATGATTAGGTAAACAAAATGTGGCCTGTCCATACAATGGAATGTTATTGTATGAAGTACTGATACATGCTGTGACATGGAGCAGCCTTGAAGGCATGATGCTAAATGAAAGACCCCAGACATGAAAGTCACATGTTGTATGATGCCATTTCTATGGAATGTCCAGCATAGGCAAGTCCACAGATACAGAGGAAACTGGTGGTTTTCAAGTCCTGGGGAGAGACGGAGTAGCTGCTTAATGGGTAGGAGATTTCCTTTTGGGGTTATGAAAATGTCTTGGATCTAGATGGTTGCTCAGCATTGTGAATGTATGAAACACTACTGAATTGTACACTTTATGATTATTGTACACGTTATGATTAATTTTATGTTAAGTGACACTTTAACGTGATTATGATTAATTTTATGTTAAGTGACACTTTAACGTGGTTATGATTAATTTTATGTTAAGTGAATTTTACCTCAATAAAAAATTGTAAAGCAAAACCAAAACACATTGAATCACTGATTGTCAGTGACAGTCATTATTTAAGATATTTATTATATCTTTTTTTTATTTTATTTTTGAGATAGGGTCTCACTCTGTCACCCAGGCTGCAGTGCAGTGGTGCGATCTCAGCTCACTGCAACCTCGGCCTCTCAGGTTCAAGCAATTCTCCTGTCTCAGCCTCCCGAGTAGCTGGGATTACAGGAACCTGCCACCACGCCTGGCTAATTTTTGTATTTTTAGTAGAGATGGGGTTTCTCCGTGTTGGCCAGGCTGGTCTCAAACTCCTGACCTCAAGTGATCCACCCACCTTGGCTTCCCAAAGTCCTGAGATGATAGGCGTGAGCTACCATGCCCAGCCAATTGTGACTTTACTTAGTACTTAATACAAATTCGAATTATCTATTAATAAGGCTTTAAAACTTTAATAAATACCTTAAGGTTGGCCGCGGTGGCTCACGCCTGTAATCTCAACACTTTGGGAGGCTGAGGAGGGCGATTCACCTGAGGTCAGGAGTTCGAGACCAGCCTGGCCAACATGGCAAAACCCCATCTCTACTAAAAAAAAAAAAAAAAAAAAAAAAGGTGGGGTAGTGCGCTCCTGTAATCCCAGCTACTCAGGAGGCTGAGGCAGGAGAATTGCTTGAACCTGGGAGGCGGAGTTTGCAGTGAGCTGAGATCGCACCACCGCACTCCAGGCTGGGCGACAGATGTGTTTCTGTTTAAAGACACCTTATTTAGTGTATAACTCCATCTCAAAAAAAAATAAAAGTCATAATCATTTGTGGTATTTTTTATATTGTTTAATGTATTTGCTTTTCTTTCAGAATGTTTTTAGATATTTCCCAAGGCAGCAAGTTCTCTCACCTGTAGAAAATGCACATTTCTGACCTTGTTTAGATGTATTTGTTTTGGTTTTATTATTAATATAGTTCTTCCTTTGGAAACTGGGTCTTTTTGAGTAGTGATTATTTTTTCCTCTTATCAGTATGAAGAGAGGGATACACTGGCTCACAGCGCCCCACTTTTAACAGAAAAAGTGAGTATGCCTGTTGCATTTTTGTCCTTCAGATTTTGTGGAGAATAAACATTTATGTGTAAACTTAGCTGCTTCGGGCTACTCTTTGTACATCTTGACATTAAGCTACTGGGAAATAATTGGAAAAATTTTACTTGGGTCCCGAATACATATTGAATTGTCGGTTGAAAATAATGGAAGTATTGTTAAAAATAAAATGTTATAAAAAGAGTTACTGCCGTGAGAAAATATAAAAAAGTGATGGCTTTTAGAATGTGTATGTGCATATTGACAAGGAAGGAAAGTTGCGGGGTGCAGTGGCTCTCATCTGTAATCCCAGCACTTTGGCAGACCGAGGTGGGAGGATCACTTGAGCTCAGGAGTTTGAGACCAGCCTAGGCAACACAGGCTAGACTTTGTTTCTACTGAAAAAAAAAAAAATTACCAGCCAGGGTGGTATGAGCCTGTAGTCCCAGCTACTCAGGAGACTGAGGTGGGAGGATCACTTGAGCCCTTGAGCCCAGGTGATCGAGGCTTCAGTGAGCTGTGTTTGTGCCACCGCATTCCAGCCTGGGCAACAGAGTGAGACCCTGTATTTAAAGAAAAAAAAAAAAAAAGAATAAGCAGAGTTTTTGAACGTGAGTGGATCCCTTATAAAGCTGCTCAGTTTCAGAATAATACATGATATTAGGTATTTAGATGTTTAAGAGCCAATAAGAGGGAGATGAACCAGATGTTGAGAAAACATTTTATCTTGCTTGCTTACTGCAAGCTCTTGTGTCTGAGGTGGAACTTGAGTCGTCTCCTGTAGCATATTCTGCATTTGCTGCCCATGTAACTTGCACTCAGGGAGCACCTGATGATGAATTTCCTGGATACTTGCTTCTCTCTTGGTATGATTTGTAGAAATTTATTTCTTAAGAGGGCATGCCAAAAGACAAAAACAGAAAATAAAAAGTTGAGACGTATGGGCACAAGGAGATTATTCTGTCTGCAGACTTGTTTTTCATAAATGAAAGTACTAAAAAATACTGTCAATTCTCATTGTTGTTGGTAGTTATGTTCTATAAAGTCTCTGCAAACACCAAATTAGCAGATACTAAATTATTGCTCTTAAGGGAAATATAGGGTAGGTTTCTTTGAGCCTCTGGTCACATTTTCACCAACTAACTGATCAATACATAACCTTGTTTTATGTGTATTCATGTTTAAAGACATTTTATTTAATATATAACATTGATTCATTAACATTGAGCTCATGGCCAACAGCACTGTAACTCATGACTTGAATGAAACTCATCTAACCCACGTATTTTCTCCATAAGGCACATCATAGCATTCTTTTGCTTAGGAACACTAGATAGCACTTCAGCACTATGTTTGGGGGTCAATTTAAATACGAAAATCACCAAGAAAAAGCACCCACAAATGCAAACAACATGGCACTAAATAGACCATGAAAAGGACACTTGTTTATAGTCAGAGCTGAGACAAGAAGGCAGAGCATTGCCCTGCTTGCCCTCAACTGGAAATGTGCATGTTGAGTGAGTAAAATTATTTGTCACACTGCACATGCACTTCAGCAAATGACCGTGAGAGTGCTGCAAGTATTGATTTTTGGATTACAAATCAATTCTTACAAGTAGTTGAGTTTGCAAATACAGAATCCACAAATAATGAGCCATTTGAAATGATAAAAATGTGTTGAAACAGTGCTGCTCTTAGAAAGAACTTGGTGCTCTTGTTTGACTAATTATTATTTACTATTCCTCTTGTGTGTTCACATCAGAAGAGGTAAACCTTCGGATCTTCTCTGTATTATTAGAGAATTGGGCAGCATAGAGAATAGGGCATTTCTGTGTATAGTGCTTAAATATTTTCTACTGATGGGAAAGTACCTTATGATCAAAGGAGACTGGGAGAATTATTTTATGCTATTTTATAACCAGAGCATGCTTTGACTCACAATAGGCATTAGTTTCTTCACCAGTCTCTGAAACCTCCATAAGAGAAATTTAACAGGTATAAACAGTGAATAACCACTCTCTCATTTGCTTTAAACAAACAATGTAATTGAACAGAGTACATAACCCTTCACTTGCTCTTAGCAAACCTCCAGAGGTTCAGAACTGCCTGGACCATGGCAATCCACGGGAGATGGTTTTAGTGATTGTTTTCTTTTTCTTTCTCTTTTTCTCACTATATTTCAGCATAACATTATAAAATATCGTGTTGATAAATGCTTTGTTTTATATTTATTACCAACAGTAACTATAACCTTTCTTTTGAAACACAGACCTTCAACAAGCTTGTGGGAAAGTTTAGCCAGTCCATCTTTCACTTGAATTTAACACAAATACTCTCAGCAACAATGGAAGGGAAGCTGGTTGTCTGGGACATACACCGCCCACCCTCATCTGCCTCCACCTTTTTGGGCTTTCCCTATATCAAGCCTTGTAAATTGGTTCATTTGCAGAAAGAGGGCATCACTGTGCTTACTACAATTGATAGGTAATTTTAACTTAATTAAAAGGTAGCTATGGATGATTATAAAAATATTTAAAAATTGTTATGGGAGGTTGGGCATAGTGGCTTACACCTCTAATTTCAGTTCTTTGAGAGGCTGAGGTGGGAGGATCACATGAGGCCAGAAGTTTGAGACTAGCCTGGGCAACACAGTGAGACCCTATCTCTACCAAAAAACAAAAAAGAAAGAGAGATAGGAGGATTGCTTGAGCCCAGGAGTTTGTCAGAGCGAGACTCTCCTGTCTTGAAAAACAAAACAAAACAAAACAAAACAAAACCTCTTTTGGATGTATATGCATATTTTGTATATGCATAGAGTATTCTGGGGAGAGTCATAATGAACTGGGAAGATTGGTTGCCTCTGAGGAAAAGAACTGAGAACTAAGATCAGGGATCGGGGGTGGATTTACTTCTTTTTATAGTTCCATTTATACTAATTGGATTTTTAAAAAAATCATGAGCATGCATTATGTTAAAAAAAAATCCCTTTGTGTTGGTGAAACAAAAAGGAACTAGATTTTTTCTTCTGTGCTATTTGGATAGATTTTGCATGCAACATTTTACATGCAGTAAATGTAAGAAAATAATTTGAATAACTATATTGTTTTTGTCTGATTACAAAATAACATTTACAGTTCGGAGCGGTGGCTCATACCTGTAATCCCAACACTTTGGGAGGCCGAGGCGGGTGGTCTCAGGAGTTTGAGACCAGCCTAGCCAACATGGGGAAACCCTGTCTCTACTAAAAATATAAAAATTAACCAGGTGTGGCGGCATGCGGCTGTAGTCCCAGCTTCTCAGGAAGCTGAGGCATGAGAATCACTTGAACCCAGAAGGCAGAGGTCGCAGTGAGCCAAGATTTCACCACTGCACTCCAGTCTGGGTGACAGAGCGAGACTCAATCTCAAAACAAAACAAAAATAATATTTACCCATTGTGAGAAGATCAAATGCATCAGAATGTAATAAAATTCACTAACTCTGATTTTGAGTGGCTGTGGGGACTCACAGATGGTCATTAAGTCCTCAATTAGGACAGGGTTCTTATTTCAGCTGGGTCCCTTCCTTACTGAGTGACCTTGAGAAAGGAACTTAATCTTGCTGAGCCTCTATTTCTTCATCTGTAAAATGGGCATAATGATACTGTTTCTCTCAGAGTGGTTTTATGAGGATTTCACGAGATAGGGATGTAAAACTCTTTGCACATGCTTGGTGCAGGGGAACCCTAGGTAAATGGCAGCCATCATCAGTGTGTGAGAGAAGTTCTCGAAGGTGTGGAGAAAATTGCCTAGTGACAGGGACCCTGCCCATATGGTTAGAGTCACTGGGCCATCTGCTTTCAAAACGCCCGTTTGCTTCCATTTGCCTTTTGATGCAGGGGAACAGTGAGGTCTTGACATGGTTTTACAAAGAGAAATGCAAATTGTCACCCTCACTCAGTGGGGTGAGAAGATAGTAGAACTGCAGTTGGCCATGATGCAATCAACCTTTACTCGGTTGGGGGTTAGGATCCAGTGAAGACCAGGCCTGAGTTCTCCAAGTTAACAAAACCCAGTCAGGATCTGTGAGTCCAAGAAGGAAAAGGTCTCTGAAAATACTTGGTCAGTATTGCTGCTTCTGTCCAGCAGAGGGCAGTGGCAGACGTTCAAGCCAATTACTCGGCCCACCTGCCTTGCTTATTAATCAGAAACCTCATTTAACCACTCTGCATATGTAAGAGAAAATCCTCCTCGTCTGCCCCCCGTGATTAGAATTATGTCAAAGTCTTTTTTAAAAGGCCCATTTGGGATGGATCTGAGGACTGGAAATGAAAGCCATTTTGTCACGTGGCACTGCCTTCTGCCGTGATGACTGGATAGGGTTTTATGATCACACTAACAGTAGTGCCTTCCTGTAAAGTGCTAGTGTCCCATTGCCAGCTTGCATGATTTTGGAGGACTGGTGGAGCGATTCTCTCCATGGTCATCTGTAGTTATATGGGGAGTGTAAATCCTTGTCCGCCGCCATTGTGTATGGCTGATCTTGGCGGGCAGGGAAGAACCTAGCAGAGAGCATGGACTTTGCTTTAGACATACCTGGGTTCCCTGCATAGTCAAGCCACATGGCCCTGGTAAAATTGCCAGGTATAAATATGCCCCATGCAATATTTGGGATATACTTAGGCTAAATTTTTTGTTTGTTTGTCTATTTTGTTTTTTGTGACGCAGTTTTGCTCTTGTCACCCAGGCTGGAGTGCAGTGATGCAATCTTGGCTCACTGCAACCTCTGCCTTCCGTGTTCAAGCAATTCTCCTGCCTCAGCCTCCCGAGTAGCTGGGATTATAGGTGCGCACCACCACACCTGACTAATTTCTGTATTTTTAGTAGAGGCGGGATTTCACCATGTTGGCCAGACTGGTCTCAAAGTCCTGACCTCAGGTGATCCACCCAATTCGGCCTCCCAAAGTGCTGGGATTACAGACATGAGCCACCATGTCCAGCTACACTAAATTTTTTTATACAAATATTCAAACGTAACTGGGTATCTGTATTGTTATCTGCTAAATCTGGCAACACAATGCCCTGAGCAAATTTCTTAACTCTCTGAGCGTTAGTTTCCTAGATGTAAATTGGGATAACAGTAAAATCATTCTCATCAGGCAGTATTAAATTAAGTTTTTGCAATGCCCCAGAATCCAGAGCCTGACATATAATTAGGTATTATATAGATGCTACTTGTTATTATTGCTATTTGCAAAACTGATGTTATTCTCCATTTCAGCTACATTGTCACAGGTGACATTAAGGGTAACATTAAGTTCTATGATCACACCCTGTCTATTGTTAACTGGTACAGTCACTTGAAACTGGGCGCCATAAGAACTCTGTCCTTTTCAAAGACCCCAGCAAACCCTCCTACCGAAAAATCAAACTATCCTCCTGACTGCACTTTAAAAGGTGACCTTTTTGTCGTAAGGTAAGTTGTTAATGAATCTAGTCACTAGAATGGTTGAAAAATGATCACTGTCTTCTTTAGTTTGCATGAAGTGGGAGGTTCGTGTTGTTCCTGGGATATCTCCCTGGCTGATTGTGATAACTATTGGATCATTTAAAAAATTAATGAAACATGACTTTAATATTAAGACTCTTTAGTAACTGGAAGCTGGAAGGTCCTGATCCCTGAGCTCTCACCTCTGTTGAGTCTGGAGTCTTTGGCTGCAGGTTGGTCTCTTTTCTCTAAGCTGAGCTTGTCCTAGCCACTGCGGTTAAAGGCACTGGATAATTAATAGCCATAACATTTCAAGACCGAATTATCTGTGAGTCTGCTTAATTACCCTTGCAGTATTTACAGGCACATCTGTATGTGTGCACCAAACTCCATATTTGCATACACAAATGAATATTTGCATGTGCAGATTAGCTAATTGTACAACTGACTGTCCATCTGCATACTTAATGACTCAATTTACATGGAGAAAAGTGGGCTTTTTCACTTGCAAATGGAGGCTGTTGGGTATTGGTGGTATATTTTTGGAAATGTTGGGTTAATAATGTCACTAAATTACAGACGACAGAGGCGTTTTATGTGCAATTAGAAGCAGAATAGCTGGCATGCCCCATTCCCTGCAAACACTGATATTGTTTGGTCTCTCCTTGGCAAACAGGAATTTTATCATTGGAACATCTGATGCCGCGGTGTACCACTTAACAACAGATGGGACCAAACTTGAGAAGTTATTTGTAGAGCCCAAGGATGACATTTGTGCCATCTCCTGCCACCCCTATCAACCCCTCATTGCCATCGGGAGCATCTGTGGGATGATCAAAGTGTGGAATTATGAAAACAAACAATATCTTTTCAGCAGGGTTTTTGAGAAGGGGCTTGGAGTCCAGAGTCTGACCTACAACCCGGAAGGTATTTTCATCTTATCAGCCTACCATCGGTTCCACATGGACAGCCCCGAAAGGGATGGATGCACCTGGGCTGGCGTAGCTCCAGAAAGTCTCCCCGACTCCAATCCCCAGCAGGCTGGATGAGGCGCCTTCCCTCTGGGGCTCCCATGGTATTCTGGGCCTAGTGCTCTCTGCGCGCCTCTGTGCGCTAACCCCAGGAGATCATGCGTTTCGGTTCATTTCTCTGCACAGGAGCTTTGTTGTGTTAGTTACTATCTTCTCCACACCCAGAACAAAGCCTGGCACAGACTCAACATCTCTTGAATGAACGTAATCCTTTTCCATCGTTGTTCTCTGGCTTGTCATTTCAGGAGCCCTTCTTGGAGCTGGTTTTACAGAGGGGACAGTTTACATTCTTGATGCAATGTCTTTAGAAAATGAAAGCCCAGAGCCTTTCAAATATTCCAGAACCAGTGTGACTCATATAAGCTTTTCCCATGACTCCCAGTATATGGCAACTGCTGTAAGTATTTTCACGGACACGCATCCAGTGGCTTAGCAATTTTATGTGAAACCAAAAGAGGCCAGACATAGTGGCTAACACCTGTAATCCCAATGATTTGGGAGGCTGAGGTGGGAGGATCATTGGAGGACAGGAGTTCATGACCAGCCTAGGAAACACAGCAGGACCCCATTGCTACAAAAACATTTTTTAAAAATTAGCCAGGCCTTGTGGCACACATCTGTAGCCCCAGTTATCCAGGAGGCTGAGGCGGGAGGACCCCTGGGGACCAGGAATTTGAGGTTACAGTGAGCTATAAGGCAGTTATGTTGGTCTGTCTTTATGTCGGGAGGGGAAAAGCAGTGGTCTTCACTAAACTCCTGTCCCTTCCAGCGCTCTCCGTCTCCACGCTGGTGCGGCCACTCCTCTGGTTTGTGTACACAATGCTTCTGAAGACAAAGCCATCTCAGCACACTGTGGGCACACACAGTCCAGCCTCTGTGTCCCCTCAGGCCAGGCTCCCACTCCGACCTGGTTCACTCGCAGCCTTCATACCTTTCAAAGACACATGGCTTTTTTATTGTATGTAGCTGGACAAAGAAACGGGAGGACAAAGGCACAAAGAATCAGGCTTTTGCCTTTCCACAGACAGCGAGGGAAGAGTGTAAGACCATAGTGTCACCTTCATACTTTTTCCCTGACTACCTTTTCAGTTTTCTGCTTTTAACTTTAATTTTCTTGTCTGTAAAATGGGCATTAGGCCAGGTGTAGCTCACACCTGTAATCCCAGCACTTTGGGAGGTCGAGGCAGTCAGATTGCTTGAGGCAGGAGTTCGAGACCAGCCTGGGCAACATGGTGAGACCCCATCTCTACAAAAAATAATGGAAAAAAAAAAAAAAAATTAGCCAGGTGTGTTGGTGCACACCTGTAATCCCAGCTACTCGGGAGGCCAAGGCAGGAGAATCGCTTGAGCCCAGGAGACTGAGACTGCAGTGAGCCGTGATCAGGCCACTGCACTCCAGCCTGGGCAACAGATCAAGACTCTTGTCTAAAAAAAAAAATAAAAAAAAAAAAAAAAACTAAAATGGAAATTGTTTTACTATTTGCTTGAATAGACTGAGATTTTTTTGAAGAAAATATTCTTAGTATTTTTTTTTTGATAGGGTCTTGTTCTGTTGCCCAGGCTGAAGTGCAGTGTTACAATCTTGGCTCGCTGCAAACTTCTCCTCCCAGGTTCAAGCAATTCTTGTGTCAGCCTCCCAAGTAGCTAGAATTACAGGTGTGTGCCACCACGCCCAGCTAATTTTTGTATTTTTAGTAGAGATGGGGTTTTGCCATACTGGCCAGGCTGGTCTTGAACTCCTGACCTCAGGTGATCCACCTGCCTCGGCTCCCAAAGTGCTGGGATTACAGGCATGAGCCACCACACCCGGCCCATAATGATGATTCTTAATTTGCTAAACGTAAAACGGGATAACTCCTTCTCTTTTGCTTATCTTCAGGATAGAAGTTTTACTGTGGCTGTTTACATGCTGGTGGTCAGAAACGGACAGAGGGTCTGGGAGTACTTAGCAAGACTTCGTTCTCATCGCAAAAGCATTCGAAGTCTCCTGTTTGGGGTTTACCTGGACAGCAATGAGCCTAGACTGCTGAGCCTTGGGACAGACAGGCTCTTGGTGAGCTATTTACTTTTCGTTGACCTGGTCACCAGAACTGTGTCTCACTCTTGTGACATCTCTGGCATATTGCATAGAGCCAGGCGCACAGTATGTGTGTTTGTTGGAGAAAATGAGTGCACAGTGAAGGATCACAAACCTCTCCAGGTTGGCATTTTGCCTTAACGTGCCTGGGACACCACCTGGGGATTCCTGTTCTGGACGAAGAGGCTTCCGGGCAGCAACAAGTCAGAAGGCAGGGAGCGGGGAGTTCCCCACAGCGTGGAAAGCAGCCGCCCTCGCCTCCCAGTGTGCATGAGGAGGGCCGACACTCACTAACACTGTCTTCGTGTCCAGCAGTTGGGGCCAGGCTCCTACCTAAATATGAAAACTAGGAGACGTTGTGAGATAAGAGGAAAAGGTAGGGACAGTGGCAAATGCGATATTACAGGGTCCGGTGAAATGGATTCAAAATCAACCAGTCAGTGTATCTGTCTGTTTTCCTTCCTTCCTCCCTCCCTCCTTTCCTCTCCCCATCTCTCCCTCCCTCCCTTCCTTCCCTCCCTTTCTTCTTCCCTCCCTCCCCTACCCCTCCCTTCTGTCTCTTGCCTTCCTTCCTTTATTCAGTTTATCCATTCATTCATCCGTCTGTCCATCCATCCGTCCATCCATCCATCCATCCATCCATCCATCCATCCATCCACCCACCCACCCATCCATCCATCCAACCATCCAACCATCCATCCATCCATCTATTCTGCCCTGCCTACGAAAACATACCTGTATGGACCCAGTTCAGCGGCTGCTGATTTGCGATTGCCAAGTGCTGGGCTGATATTTAGATGAATTAGTTCCTAAGATAATAAGTGACACAGTATAACAGAACTGTAAGATGTTAGGTGTGGGAGTCAGCTGGATCTAAATGTGAATTTTTGAATTTTTACTTTGCCACTTTTTAGCTATGTGACCTTGGATAAGCCACTCTGACCATCCTTGAACATCTGTTTTCTCATCTGTAAAATGGGCACAACAGTACTCCTTTGCAGGGAAGTTCTGAGGATGACATGACAGATGTTTTTGGAGCACTCAGCTCATTGTCTTCCGGATAGTGAATTCTCAGTACTGATGACTTAGTGTCGGTTCTAGGCAAGTCTTCTGTTAGGAGACCTGATACCATATCCTGGAGAACAGCACTGTTGCTGATAATTATAAAGGCTGTCACCCAAGAGCTAGGGGCTCTTTAGCTGAGCCTTTAATTTGGCTCGGTCCTCATGTGTGTCCATCTGGGCTCCTCTGCAGATAGAGTATGATCTTCTCAGGAGCTACAAAGACTGCCTGGAAGTCCTGGACATTCACCGCACAGACCAGGGCTGCTATCCCACCTGCATGGTCTGGTACCCACCACTCACCAGGGAACTCTTCCTGCTTATTTGCAACAGTGGCTACAAAGTGAAGCTTTTTAATTCTACCACCAAAATGTGCAGGTAAGCACCCGCAGCTTCCCACTGCAGGGGGTGTGGATCGAGTTCTCTGCCCCCAGCCTGTTTCAAGTCTCTATGCAGGGACCTGCAAGCAGCTTGGCTACTATCATCATCCTCTTTGCTTTGCAGAGGAGGAAACTGAGGCACAGATAACGTAAGTAATTCTCACCAAGGTCATGCGGCCCTGCATGGAGGTGAGATGTGCAGAATCCAGGAAGGACACAGCCCTGGGGCCCTGGGAAGGTTGCTGATGCTGTCTCCTGTTCTCCTCTCGTTAGGAAAAACATAGTTTTACCCAGCTACTAACAATCGTTTGATTTTTTCTTACTCTTGGGTCTCAAAGCAGTTGTAACTTTAATTGCTAGCACTCCTTTGTTTACACCCTGTGCGAGCCAGGTACTGTTTTAGGTGCTGAAGACAAGGATGAAAACAAAATGGTTTCCATCACTGTGTAGTTTACATGTTGGTGGGGGGCAGGTGATGCAATAGTGTGAACAAGTAGCCAGGTAGTAGGTAGGTGGTAATCAGGTCTGTGCAAAGAAAAAAAAAAAGGAAAAGGCAGGATGAAAAGATGGGGAGGCAGGGAAGGCCCTGGAGAGCAGGGGACATCTGAGCATCTGAACAGAGACTTGAAGAAAGCGAGCGGCTGCCACCCAGTTGGAGGGAAAACAGTGGATCAGCAAGGGCCGATGAGTGAAGGTGGGGGGCGTCTCGGGTTTGGGAAATGCTGCGAAGGCTGGCGAGGCCAGAGTGGAATGGGCAAGGAGGGGGTGTGGGAGAGCGGGTCAGAGGTGCAGGCTGGTGCCTGGCACACGGCACCCTGGAGACTCCGGCTCTTTCCCAGGTAAGACGAGAGCTAGTGGAGGGTTTTGAGCAGAGGAATGACATATTCTGATTGATTCTTTACAATGATGTCTGGTTTCTGTACAGAGAGCAGACTCTGGGGCGCAAAGGTAGAAGCAAGATTGGGGAAACTGATGTGACAGCTGATGGCGGCTTGGCCCTGAGGGCAGAAGGGAGGGTCAGATTCTGGATGTGTCCTGCTGGCAAAACAAAATGGAGGGAAAAGGAGGTGTGAGGGAAGACACCTCTCGAAGCCATTGGAATGGACTGGGCCTTTAAAGAGATGAGGGGGGCAACAGAAGGAGAGCTTCGAGATACACCGGGGCTCAGACTGCACAAGGCAAGCTTCACATGCCTGCTTGACATTCGGGTCGGTATCCACGAAGCAGGCTCTGGAGTGTGGAGGTCCTGGGAGAGGCTGGGCTGGAGTCAGGAGCACAGGATGATTGAAGGCATGAAACGGGGAAGACACTAGCGGGGGAGCAGGGCGTCCGCATCCGGGGAGCAGGGCGTCCGCATCCGGGGAGCAGGGCATCCACCGCCCAGCATCCTAGAGCGGCGTCTCCTCCCTCCTGACACCATCCTGCGCATGCCCGTGGGCCCCTGTGCTTCGGCCCCTGTGAGCCGTCACAACAAACACCGTCATCCCGTTCCCTCGTCCACAGCCCTGCTAAGTATTCTCCCACTGAAGAAGTTGGAAGGGAGAATGTTTCAGTGATCCACCACAGCCGCCACCACTGCCACTGCCACTGCCACCACCACCGGAAGAAGGAAGTCGGGGAACTGGCCGCAGCTGGCTCAGGCTTGAGGACTATGCTTTTGAAATGTATCTCAGATAAGACAGGTCCTCAAAAGGCCAGGACTACCTGGGATGTTTTGTTGTCGTTGTTGTTGTTTTAAACAGTTCTTTCCCAGAAGGCACAAGAAAAAATGACTGAGAAATGCCATGTTTTATGGTAGAGAGAGAAATCCAGGACAATTTTCTTAAGCGATTAAAACACTCGAAAGCATGTGTAAAGAGGAGCTTTAGAAAGACTTCAGAGTCATTGTGCATAGTTTTTAATGAACACATACTTTTTGGACAAAGAATATCTCTCGGATATGCGCAGTCCTAAGACACTGAACTGGCAGAGCTGGAGAATGAGGGCTGGCAGACCTCGGGCCTGAAGTTCCTGCTAATGGTCATTCACTGGAGGAAAGAGGCAGGAGGGACTTTGAGACACAGAGTTGGGAGCTTCTGCCTATTGATCAATCTGAAATTAGCATAAAGCAGGTTAAAAAAATTTATCAAGGTGATACTCACGTAACATAAAATGAACCATTTGAAAGTGAACAGTTCAGCTGGGCACGGTGGCAAACGCCTGTAATCCCAGCACTTTGGGAGGGACCGAGGTGGGTGGATCACCTGAGGTCAGGAGTTCGAGACCAGCCTGGCCAACATGGTGAAACCTCATCTCTTACTAAAAATACAAAATTAGCCGGGCATGGTGGCAGGCTACTCTGGAGGCTGAAGCAGGAGAATCGCTTGAACCCGGGAGGTGGAGTTTGCAGTGAGGCGGGATTGCACCAACCACTTTACTCCAGCCTGGGTGACAGAGCAAGACTCTGTCTTAAAAAAAAAAAAAAAGAGAAGAAACAGTTCCATGGCATTTAGTACTCACAGTGCTGTGTAACCCCCACTCTAGCTTCAGAGCATTTCCATCATTCCAGAATAAAAGCCCTTGAATAAAGCATCTTTTAAGCTGTAGGAATAAGGAAGCCTCATAACCGTGGCTTAATTGGGAAGGAATTGTCTTTTCATGATAAATCCAAAAGAATTTAAAAATGCATTTAAAAAATATTTGAAAGAACATGAAAAGGCAGTTCACAGGAAAAGGCCAATAAACCTATGAGCAGATGCTCACTAGCATGTCAAAGATGCAAATGAAAACAAGATATCATTTTTTCACCAATCAGATTAGCAAAGATAAAAATGATTGATAGTGCTTAGCGTTGGCAAGAGGCTAGGGAAACGGGCACTCTCATCCGCTGCTGGGGGCGGGTGTGAATCAGTGTAACCTTTTGGGAAAGCAATTTGTCACCCTCTATTAAATTTTATCATATCTTCTGACTTCTAGGAATGTAGCCCACAGAAGTACTCACACAGTATGCCAAGACATAAGTAAAAGGATGTCTTGTTTGAAAATATTTTTAAAAATGGAAACAATCCAAATGCCCATTAATAGGGGATTAGTTAAACGATGGCTTGTCAGTACACTGGAACACGATGCTGCTTTTAGAAAAGAAAAAAAGAGAAAGAGTAAGACAGCTCTCTGTGTAATGACATGGAAATATCTCAAAGATGTAATATGAGATAAAGCAAATTACCAATGAAACATGAATAGCATAATTGTATTTTTATATAAAATTATAATTACAAAAGAAATTCTTGAGTCATATACACCAAACTATTACTCATGATTATCTTGGGATAGGGTGCAGCAATGTGGAGATATAGATTTTCTCCTTCTTCTTCTTCTTCTTTTTTTTTTTTTTGAGGCAGGGTCTCACTCTGTTGCCCAGGCTGGAGTGCAGTGGCATGATCTCGGCTCACTGGCTCACTGCAGCCTCGACCTCCCAGGCTCAAACAATGCTCCCACCTCAGCCTCAGGCCACCAAGCCAGGCTAATTTTTCGTAGAGACAGGAAACTACTGTATTGCCCAGGCTGGACTCGAACTCCTAACCCCAAGCAATCCTCCCACCTTAGCCTCCCACAGTGCTGGGATTATGGGCATCAGCCACTGTGTTCTGGCCAGGACCAGAGTCTTAAAACCTGTGTTGAGATTTATGGAATTTTTAAAACTCAACTATTCTCTTCGCTTTGCCTCTCTTTTCTCTTTTCTTTTCCTTCTTCCTTTCGATGGAGTCTTGCTCTGTCGCCCAAGATGAAGTGCAGTAGCATGATTTCACTCACTACAACCTCCACCTCCCAGGTTCAAGCGATTCTCATGCCTCAGCCTCCTGAGTAGCTGGGACTACAGGTGCGCACCACTACACCTGGCTAATTTTTTTTTTTAGTAGAGACGGTGTTTCACCATGTTGGCCAGGCTTGTCTTGAACTCCTGACCTCAGTTGATCCGCCTGCCTCAGCCTCCCAAAGTACTGGGATTACAGGCGTGAGCCACCATGCCCCATCCATGACCAAAGAGTCTTTTTTTTTTGAGACGGAGTCTCACTTTGTCACCTAAGCTGGAGTGCAGTGGCGCAATCTTGGCTCACTGCAACCTCCACCTCCTGGGTTCAAGTGATTTTCCTGTCTCAACCTCCCGAGTAGCTGGGATTGCAGGCGCCCGCCACCATGTCTAGCTAATTTTTGTATTTTTAGTAGAGACGGAGTTTCACCATATTGGCCAGGCTGGTCTCAAACTCCTGATCTTGTGATCTGCCTGCCTCGGCCTCCCAAAGTGCTGGGATTACAGGCGTGAGCCACTGCGCCCAGCCTGACCAAAGAATCTTAAAACCTATGTTGAGATTTGTGGAATTTTAAAAACTCTTTCTCTTTTTGCCTTCAGAAAGACGCTTATGGGGCCAGCTTATGGTTCCCCTATTGAGCAAACACAAGTCCTCCCAGTGAGAAGCATGGCAGAGCTACAGAAACGCTACTTGGTGTTTATTAACAGAGACAAGGTAACAGCACTCTCTTCTCCAGCTCTGGGAGTTGACTCTGTGTGTCATGAGCAGCAGTCATTACCGAAGATCACGAGACTCAGAGAGTTCTGGGTTTACAGCCAAGCCCAACTGCTTCCACCCCGGTCAGCTGTGATACTGAAAATTGCCCTTGATGAGTTAGGAAGACTCTTGGGAGACATTTCTGAGCAGAGTTACTGCATTTTCTATATTCCCAGTGAAGATACATGGGCCACCAAAGGATTTTCCTTCTTATTTATTTATGTGGAAAAACTCTTATAAAAATATGCAAATTGGCTGGGCGCAGTGGCTCACACCTGTAATCCCAGCACTTCCAGCACTTTGGGAGGCTGAGGCGGGCGGATCACGAGGTCAGGAAATCAAGACCATCCTGGCTAACACGGTGAAACCCCGTCTCTACTAAAAATACAAAAAAAATTAGCCGGGCATGGTGGCACATGCCTGTAGTCCCAGCTACTCAGGAGGCTGAGGCAGGAGAATGGCGTGAGCCCGGGAGGCGGAGCTTGCAGTGAGCCGAGATTGCGCCACTGTACTCCAGCCTGGGCGACAGAGCAAGACTCCGTCTAAAAAAAAAAAAAAATGCAAATTAGTTGCACTTTGTTGTATGTTTAATGAATAATCTACACTGAAAAGTGTAAAGTGGGGCTGGGCGTGGTGTAATCCTGTAATTCCAGCACTTCGGGAGGCCAAGGCGGGTGGATCATGAGGTCAGGAGATCGAGACCATCCTGGCTAACACGGTGAAACCCCATCTCTACTAAAAATATAAAAAATTAGCCGGGCGTGGTGGCGGGCGCCTGTAGTCCCAGCTACTCGGGAGGCTGAGGCAGGAGAATGGCGTGAACCGGGAAGCAGAGCTTGCAGTGAACGGAGATTGCGCCACTGCACTCCAGCCTGGGCGACAAAGCCAGACTCTGTCTCAAAAAAAAAGTGTAAAGTCATAGGTTGTGAGATTTATTCTGGAAAACCCGGGACAACTGACCATGAAGGCAGGGAGGAAAGCTTCCCTTCTGTGTATCTGTTAGAGCTGTGCGAGGGGCCTCTACCAGGGCTGGTGTGTGTGGATGCCCAGCTACATTGTATGTGGCTCTCACCCTCAGAGATGGGTCCAGACACACAGGTCCTTCTGGCACACAGATCTGGAGGTGACATGTGAATGTGCCAGGCCTCTCGGGCCCAGCTACCTGAGTCTGAATATCCAATTATGTGTTCCTTTCTAGGTTGGACTTCAGATCTTACCAGTTGACGGCAATCCACATAAGACATCTGCTATTGTTTGTCACCCAAACGGGGTGGCTGGCATGGCCATTTCCTATGATGGCCGCTACGCCTTCACCGCAGGAGGGCACGATCGCTCTGTGGTGCAGTGGAAAATCACCTTAAGGTACACGACGGGGCGAGAAGGAAGGTACCAAGTGTAAACTCCGTTTCACTCAGCAACAGTGATAGACACTGAACCCTACTGTGTGCCAGGTACTGTGCTAGGATGTCACAGGGCCTGGCCCTCAGGTTGCTCCCCAGTGGCATGGCTCACATTACTCTGCAGACGGGGGTTACTGTCCTGTTCCATGGACCAATGGTGTTTGCAGTTCAGGCAATGTGACAGCACCTTGGGGTCACCCCTGCTCCCTCAAATGCTTCTCCCTCTGCTCTGCATAGCCACACCTGCTAGAAAGATCTAGGCTGACCCTCCAAAGCATGCACTACGGAAATAGTAAGAGGATCATTTGACGTGGGTATTTTCGGCTCCTCCTCTCACCCTCCCTGCTCTGAACGGAGAACCTCTGCCTGAGGCGAGGCTGGAGAATTCTAGAGTTGAACATTGGAGAGTATGTGGACTTTGAGGTGAAAGGGGTAATATAAGTTTGAATATGGGGCCACTCTCTACTGGCTATGGGGCCTAGGGCAAGCTTCTTAATGTCCCTGATCTTTAGAGTCCTTGCCTGCAAAGTGGGGTGATAATAGGGACTTCTGTAGGATCCCTGTAAAGATCAGGTAGTTTAATATGGGAAAAGCGCCTAGCACAGAGCGAAGTACTCAGCAAGTGAATGATTTCCTTTCTTCTCTTCTTCCTGTAAGGGCATTTGCTTATGAGCTCAGGATCTTCCCTAATAAAGAGGGGACAAGCACCCACACTGTCCTCTCATCTACCCAAATTCAGCGTGCTGCCGCAGGGCAGAGTCAACCACGTGGCAGCCGGTTCCTGTTCCTGACCACTTCTCCAAGCTCCTGCGCTGCCTGTGGCTCGCCTGGGCCTCTCTCCTGGCAGTGTGACGTTGAGGAGCAAAAACAGCTCAGAGGCACCTTCCTTCCTCACAGAACAAACCTGATTCCTGGCTGCCAGCACAGTGTACCCCCTGCCATCTGCCAAGTGCACATCTTTCTTTTTATGGCGGATATTGAAGCTTCTACTCTTAACCTGAATATGAGCAAAAATAGCCAGTTAAATCTGCTTTGGAACCACGGTGTTTGAGATTGCACTTGCAGCTCTGACTTCCACCCCGCCTTCACCTGAGAGAGCAGGTCATGGGAACTTGGGGATTTAGGAGCTGGAGGTGAACTCTCCCATTGAAAAGGGATCACGGCCTCAGGATGGCTGCCTGGTTCCTTGCTCCCTGGCTTGTTGCCTGGAACCATGGGGACAAGGCACACCTTGTGGGGACAAGCAGAACCTTCCTTTCTATTTGTTGTTGTTGAGACAGGGTCTGACTCGGTCACTCGGGCTGTAGTACAGAGGAGTGATCGTGGCTCACTGCAGCCTCGAACTCCTGGGCTCAAACGATTCTCCTGCCTCAGCCTCCTGAGTAGCTGGGACCACAGGCACATGCCACTGTGCCTGGCTAACTTTTAAAAAATTATTTTTTTGTTGATAGAGAGTCTCACCAAGCCTAGGCTGGTCTTGAACTCATGGGCTCAAGCCTTGGCCACCCAAAGTGTTGGGATTACAGATGTGAGCCACTGCACCCGGCTAGAACATTCTAAAATGTTTGTTTTCTTCTCAGTCGTCTTGGGATCTGGAATGGTAGAAATTTAAGAAAAAGAAAAAAAGGTCTCTGCTTTCCAATAGCTTTCGCCTGGCCAGAGTCCAGGCTTCTGAGAATTTCAATTTAATCTGTGGTGGGGACAAAGGATTATTATAAACTAATTAGCACTTCATTGCTGCTTCTGGTGACTTAATATGATCAGCACTTCACTAACGGAAAGAAATGTAAAAACCTAAACAAGTAACCAACAAAATTTCCTACTAGAGTTACTGACGATGAGTTGTAGGGGAGATAAAAATGATAAATCCCCTCACGTTCGATCATTTCAGTCAGTGCCCCCCTTGGCCCCAACTGCTACCATCACAGTCTATGGCACTTCTGCCCCAGGAGAGCCCCTTCCATCCCCTCTCTCAGGGTTCATTCCGCACTCCCCTTCTGCCCCTCCATGCTAGCATGCCACCCTTTCTCCTCTCCTTGTCTGGCATCTGTTTCAAAATCCCTCATTACTTCTTTGTGCTCAGCCTCCCTGCCTCCTGTCATCCTGCTGCCCTGCTCAGCCAAGAGCAGAGACCCTGATTTGAATCCTAGCTAGTCACTACCTGCTTGCTGGATGATGCCAGCCAAGTCCCTTCACTTCTTGGAGCCTCAGTTCCTCCAGCTGTTAAATGGGACTCCTCCCACCAAGCTGAGACCATTCCTCCTCCGCCTCCTGCAGGGAGCGTTGACAGAGTACCTACTGTGTGCTTGCCACAGGGCTGAGAACTCTAGCTCCTTCCCAGAAGTACTGTGTGGATTGCTGGGCACAGAGCAGGTTTTCAGTAAGTGTCATTTCCCTTTTCTGCCCTAATGACCTCTTTTCTGTTGCAAGTGTTAGAAACACAAATTAGGCAAAAGGGAACATATGAGAAGGTCATTGGGATCACATGTAGCTACACCGCAGGAAGGTCATGGACAGCGGCACACTTGTGCCCTCAGCACTTACTGTCCTCTTGGCCCTGCTGTTGGCTTCATTCTCTGCAGAACTGGGTTTCCTTACTCAGCAGGAAGATGGCCGCCCACAGTTCCCAGATTTCACAAATTAGAACTCTCACCACAGACAGAGGGCGTCTCTTTCCCAGCGTGGGTTGGAGAAATCCCAGTGCAGCCCCCGGTCCCCTCTGGGGTCAGTTGATGGTGGCCAGGAGGCAGGGGATGTAGTGGAACTCCGAACACCGGGGCGGGAGCCGCAGGCTGTTCCCAGAGGACCAGGTGCTCTTGCCAGCCTTTCCCCTCAGGGGCTCCTGGTGGGGACAGGTTCCTCTCTGTCACTTCCGGTCTTTACCTGGCCCTGCTCCAGAGTCACATGGCAAAAGTGGCCTTGCCACTCACGGAGCTTGTCGGGATTGGGCCTGGGCCTGGCCTGGAGGCCACAGAGAGGGAGCCCTCTCGGCTGGACACTTGCCTCCATCGCCTAATATTCGAGCTGAGAAGTGGGGAAGACACAGCCCTTCTGGAGGGGCCCTCAGGCACCCCTGGAGAATACCCAGGTTCCTCAGACCTTAAGCCAACCCGTGGGCTTATGCATGCCTCGGTGAGAGGACCCAGGACAGTGCGTAGCAAACTCTTCCTAAGAAAGGTGTAAGTGCGGCCAATACCCATTTTCCACGGCCGCAATAATCCCAACCACTTGTGCTGAGTTTTCTCAGGGCCGGGGCCTACACTGAGTGAGTTCCATGCATCATCTGATTTCATCCTCAGCCATCCTGGGGATGGATGATATGGATGATATCCCCATCAAACATATCAAGAAGCTAACTCCAAGGGGTCTGATGACTGCCCAACAATGGAGGAGGCAGTGGGGCTGGGATTCACAGCCAGGGCTTTCTAAGTCCACCGCACACCTTAACAAACATTCATTACAGGAGGAAAATAAAGGACTTTGTCTCCAATCCTTGTGATATGGTTTGGCTCTGTGTTCCTACCCAAATCTCATCTTGAATTGTACTCTGATAATTCCCATGTGTTGTGGGAGGGACCTGGTGGGAGATAGTTGGACTGGTTAGGGGGTGGTTCCCCCATGCTGTTCTCGTGGTAGTGAATAAGTCTCATGAGATCTGATGGTTCGATAAGGGGAAACCTGTTTCACTTGGCTCTCATTCTCTCTTGCCACCACCATGTGAGACATGCCTTTCACCTTCCACCATGATTGTGAGGCCTCCTCAGCTATGTGAAACTGTGAGTCAAATAAACCTCTTTCTTTTGTAAACTGTGCAGTCTCAGGTATGTCTTTATCAGCAGCGTGAAAATGGACTAATACAGAACATTGGTACCAGTAGAATGGGGCACTGCTGAAAAGATACCTGAAAACGTGGAAGTGACTTTGGAACTGGGTAACACGCAGAGCTTGGAACAGTTTGGAGGGCTCAGAAGAAGACAGGAAGATGTGGGAAAGTTTGGAACTTCCTAGAGTTGTTGAATGGCTTTAGCCAAAAGCCTGATAGTGATATGGACTAAGGTCCAGGTTGAGGTGGTCTCAGATGGAGATGAGGAACTTGTTGGGAACTGGAGCCAAAGTGACTCTGTTATGTTTTAGCAGAGAGACTGGTGGCATTTTGCCCCTTCCCTAGAGATTTGTGGAACTTTGAACTTGAGAGAGATGATTTAAGGTATCTGGTGGATGAAATTTTTTTTTTTTTTTTTTTTGAGATGGAGTCTCGCTCTGTCACCCAGGCTGGAGTGCAATGGCACAATTTTGGCTCACTGCAACCTCTGCCTCCTGGGTTCAAGCGATTCTCCTGCCTCAGCCTCCTGAGTAGCTGGGACCACAGGTGTGTGCCACCACACTTGGCTAATTTTTTGTATTTTTAGTAGAGAAAGGGTTTCACCGTGTTAGCCAGGGTGGTCTCAATCTCCCGACCTCATGATCCACCTGCCTCGGCCTCCCAAAGTGCTGGGATTACAGGCATGAGCCACCACTCCCGGCCTCTGGCGGAAGAAATTTCTAAGCAGCAAAGCATTCGGGAGGTAACTTGGGTGCTGTTAAAGGCATTCAGTTTTATAAAGAAAGCAGAGCATAAAAATTAGGAAAATTTGCAGCTTGACTGTGACAGAAAAGAAAAACCCATTTTCTGAGGAGAAATCCAAGCCGGCTGCAGAAATTTGCATATGTAACCACTAGCCAAATGTTAATACCCAAGACAATGGGGAAAATGTCTCCAGGGCATGTCAGACATCTTCATGGCAGCCCCTCCCATCACAGTCCTGGAGGCCTTTGTTTTGACCAGATTTATTGGGACAAGCCCAGGGTCCCCATGCTGTGTGCTGCTTAGGGACTTGGTGCCCTGCATCCCAGCTATTCCAGTCATGGCTGAAAGGGGCCAATGTAGAGCTCGGGCTGTGGCTTCAGAGAGTGCAAGCTCCAAGTCTTGGCAGCTTTCATGTGGTGCTGAGCCTGCAAGTCCACAGAAGTCAAGAATTGGGGTTCGGGAACCTCTGCCTAGATTTGAGAAGATGTATGGAAACACCTTGATGCCCAGGCAGAAGTTTGTTGGGGCCCTCATGGAGAACCTCTGCTAGGGCAGTGCGGAAGGGAAATGTGGGGTCAGAGGCCCCACACAGAGTCTCTACGGGGGCACTGCCTAGTGGAGCTGTGAGAACAGGGCCACCATCCTCCAGACCTCAGAATGGTAGATCCACTGATAGCTTGTACCGTTTGCCTGGAAAAGTCATAGACACCCAATGCCAGCCCATGAAAGCAGCCAGGAGGGAGGCTGTACCCTGCAAAGCCACAGGGATGGAACTGCCCAAGACCATGGGAACCCACCTCTTGCCTCAGCGTGATCTGGATATAAGACATGGAGTCAAAGGAGATCATTTTGGAGCTTTAAGATTTGACTGCCCTGCTGGATTTCGGACTTGCATGGGGCCTCTAGCCCCTTTGTTTTGGCCAATTCCTCCCATTTGGAATGGCTGTATTTACCCAATTCCTGTATCTCCATTCTATCTAGGAAGTAATTAACTTGCTTTTGATTTTACAGGTGAAAGGGACTTGCCTGTCTCAGATGAGACTTTGGACTGTGGTCTTTTAAGTGAATGTGAATTGAGTTAAGACTTTGGGGGACTGTTGGGAAGTCATGATTGGTTTTGAAATATGAGGACATGAGATTTGGGAGGGGTCGGGGTGGAATGATATGGTTTGGCTCTGTGCCTCCACCCAAATCTCATCTTGAATTGCACTACTATAATTCCTGCATGTTGTGGGAGGGGCCTGGTGGGAGATGGTTGGATCATGGGGGCAGTTTCCCCTATGCTGTTCTCATGGTAGTGAATAAGTCTCATGAGATCTGATGGTTTGATAAGGGGAAACCCGATTCACTTGGGCTCTCATTCTCTCTCTTGCCACCGCCATGTGAGACATGCCTTTCACCTTTTGCCATAATTGTGAGGCGTCCCCGGCCATATGAAACTGTAAGTCCAATAAACCTCTTTCTTTTGTAAATTGCCCAGTCTCAGTTATGTTTTTATTAGCAGCATGATAACAGACTAGTATACCAGGTATGCATTTATTAATTCTTACAACAGTGCTGCGAGGCAGAATCTTCTCATTTTATAATGGAGGACACTGATGCCAGGGAGGTTAAGTCACCTCCCCAGAGTCACACAGCTTGCCAGGGGCAGAGCCGGGACTTGCACACATGTCCGTGTGGCTCCACACTCTGGACACTTCCCCACTTCCCCACTGTGGTCTACATGAGGTGTGTTTGATGTCACAGCAAAGAGGCTAATCGCCCGATTAGCAATAATCCAGTTAGTGGATTATTAGAATGATTTCTGATGATTAGCCTTTTGTAGGAGGCAAAGTTGGTCTCATACAAAAGTAGGTTTTCTTACCATTGAAAGGGCCTATTTTTGGAAAATCTGACCTTGTGTTAGAGAGCAGAGGGTTATTTTTATCTGACTGGCATGGGTCCCTGTGGTCTCCTGAGTTTTTATGGAAGCAATTAGTGTTGGCAGTCCACTTGTACAATATCCCATTCTTTTGACTCTGATCGTTTGTGGATCTAAAGTTCTGGGTAAGGCTCCTCTGTCTGGGAGGATTGTGGTTTCAGAACACAGATGCCTCCCCCACCCCCAGGAGACACGTGTTCCCCAAAGATTACAGACAAATTGCCAAGCACCTGCCCTGTCATCACCGAGAGAATATCACCATAATTAAGGCGGGTGCCCTCTACCTCTGAGTTCCACGCTTGAAATGGAATTTTCTGGTTTTGGTTTCATTTTAAAGGACTTTTTCTTAACAAGTGTGTAGAGACCCTCACTGTATCTGTGCCGTGATACCCTTCAGAGGGCCGCAGTGCTGTGCAGACCACCTTCTGAGCCATGCTCACGCTTGAGCGCTTTCTAATAGGGACATTTCTGTTGTTGTTCCAGTGTCCTGGAGGCAGCGGTTTCTCTTGGGGGTGAAGACTTGACCCCATTCTATGGTCTGCTGTCTGGTGGCCGGGAAGGAAAATTCTACAGGGTAATTGTCCCTAGAGTAAACACTTCCTGGTAACATCGAGTTAAGTTTGTAAAGCAAATGTGCCCGGGGTTAACCTTCTTGCTTTATTCCGAAGCTTTGTTCCCCCATTGAGCTTAAAATGTACTTTCTAGAAAATGTCTTTGAAGTGTTCATGGATGCCTTCAGACTTAAGCCTAAACGTGTGTTGTGTTTCCATTCTATTCCTACGTAGGAGCTAGAAGACTACTTCTACTATTCTCAGCTCCGCAGTCAAGGCATCGACACGATGGAGACCAGAAAGGTGTCAGAATACATTTGCCTGTCGGAGCTTCCTTTTGTCATGAGAGCAATTGGCTTTTACCCATCTGAAGAGAAGGTAGGGAGAATGAAAACAAGAGCAGCAACGGGATGTGCTATTTATAAAAAACAACCTCTGGGAACAAACATTATAGGTCAAAGCAAAAATTGCACATTTTTCTTGCATAAATGGATCAGAAAGACGGTTCTGGGCATTTCAGATGCACTCCTGAGTAACTGCCTTATAGTAGAGATATGCTTTTTTTTTTTTTTTTTTTTTTTTTTTTTTAAGACAGAGTCTTGCTCTGTCGCCTAGGCTGGGGTGCAGTGGTGCGATCTCGGCTCACTGCAAGCTCCGCCTCCCGGGTTCATGCCATTCTCCTGCCTCAACTCCTGAGTAGCTGGGACTACAGGCACCCGCCACCACACCCAGCTAATTTTTTTGTATTTTTATTAGAGATGGAGTTTCACTGTGTTAACCAGGATGGTCTCAATCTCCTGACCTCATGATCCCCCCCTTGGCCCCCCAAAGTGCTGGGATTATAGGCGTGAGCCACTGTGCCCGGCCAAGATATGCTGTTTCTAAAAAGCACGCTCCTCATGGAAATTCAATGTTGGTTAGAGCATGGGTCTTGCAACCATGGTGTTGAATTGGACGGACTAGGGCTGCCGTCTCAGCCCTGCCCCTTGCTGAGTGAGGACCAGCCTCATAGGATTTTTTTCTCTTTTTTTGAGGTGGAGTCTTCCTTTGTCGCCCAGGTTGGACTGCAGTGGCACAATCTTGGCTCACTGCAACCTCCACCTCCTAGGTTCAAGCGATTCTCCTGGCTCAGACTTCTGAGTAGCTGGGATTACAGGCACTCACCACCATGCCCGGCTAATTTTTGTATTTTTGGTAGAGACGGGGTTTCACCATATTGGTTAGACTGGTCTCAAACTCCTGACCTCAAGTGATCCCCCCGCCTCAACCTCCCAAAGTGCTGGGATTACAGGCATGAGCGACCGCGCCCGGCCAGCCTCATAGGATTTGAGGAGGGGATTGATGCCTACGTAGCCCTGGGCATGGTGCTGGGTGCACAGGAAGAGCTCAGGGAAGGGAGGGAGTTATTATCATCATTTTTATTCTCACTGTCTAGTTGCTCTTAACCTAGC